TTTCTCTCTAATATTTTATTCAAATGATATAATTTTAAAATAATTTTCTTTCAAAATTTTAGAAAATAAAGTGGATAAACACTAATTTCTTTATTTTTTATATAAATTAATTATAAAAAATATAATTAATATAATCATTAATTCCACTAAAAATGATGTAACAATTAAAATTTTGGGGCCGAAATGATAATTAAATTCTAGGGGCCGCGAAGACCTCACCCCAATCCAGCTATCCCATGAGTGGAGTCTTACGGGGTACCGCTGCAAGCGGTTCCGGTTATTCCACTAAAAGGTAACAATGATGTAACAATTAAATTTTTTGACCGGAATGACAATTAAAATTTTAGGGGCCGAGAATGACCCCACCCCAATCCAGCCATTCCATGAGTGGAGTCTTACGGGGTACCGCTGCAACCGGTTCCGGTTATTGCCAAATTGGGGTGGAAACGTGGAGTCTTGCGGGATGCAGCCTGCGAAAAGGTACCCGGTAAGATTCCACCGGGTCACGAAAATTGACCGGTTACTCCACGGCCCTCTATAAAGCATAAGCCACCCCCTCTCCACCACGGCACCACCCCACTCCACTCCACCTCCTCTCCCTCCCTGCAACTTCAATGGCAGACCCCTTCATGTATAACTTCTTCGACCAAAGCCAACCTTGTGCGGCCAAACCCACCAAGCATGCAGCTCCGTCCACCACCTCAGCTCCGCGACGTTTTTCTTGCCTCTACTGTCCCAGGGAGTTTGACACCTGTCAAGCTCTCGGGGGCCATCAGAATGCTCACAAGCGCGAGCGAGCAGCTGCTCGGCAAAACTTTCCTGCCCCCAACCAGCAGCAATACCACCCACTTCCTCAGTTCCCCGCTTATCAACAGCAACAACCCACCTCATCGATACCATTTCCCCACTTTCCGGGCATGTACCATACCGTCAGTGCAGCCTTGCTTGTTGAGAAGTGGCTGGAGCCCATCCAGCCGCAGCCGCAGCCACATCACCAAGACCTGAACCTTGCCTCCAGCTCGGTCCCTCCGAGCTTTCTGGGCGTTTCGACTGCTGATGCTCTACCCACTACCACTGATGTGGATGATTCTATGGATCTCACCCTCCGCCTGTGAAGGGACTGAATGGTGATGAAGATATATATATATATATATATATATATATAAATGGTGGTTTTATTAATAAAATGGGTTTTTGGTTTAATGTTTGATTAATATCTCTCTAATGTTTTCTGGGTAGGAGCATATTCCATTAAATAAAGAATATTTTGCTGAAAAAAGAAAAAGAAAAACAGGTATGCATGGATCTATATGGGTAACGACTTTATTTTTGTATTTCGATCAGCAGTAGAGATTAATATCATGGGACGCTTAATTTGTACTTAAATATATATTTTTTAATTTTTTAATAACATGAGAAAAGAAAAATATATATGCAACTTAATTTGCCCAATCCATTGAGACAAGTAAATCAAACCTCTAATTAAAGTATGGGGACAAACCGAGATATAACCTAATTATAACAGTTGAAGTTATATATATATATATATATATATATTTAATAATAGATTTCATGAAAGAAAATAATTTTTATTTTTTAAATCTTTCTTCACTTAATTTTAAATTTATACTCGATATCTCCAGCACATATGCTGCATTGTAGAATAAAGAGAGAAAAAATAAAGAAGCAAAAGAATGATATAGATGGCATAGGTTTTTAAGTGCTTTTTCATTTAATTTTTTATTAAATTTGACTAAAAAATATTAACATTATACATAAAAAAATAATACATATTAATTTTAATTTTTAAATTACATCATTTTGTTAATGTAAAGCTCAATAATAGCAATGGCTTTTCTCACCGAAATCGTGTTAGCCACCTTGATTCGGCCGGTGGCTATGGTTTAATGTGAGTTTCCGATAACTTTAAAGGTGGAGAGGTCGATTCCGCCCAGTCACCAACTGGAGCTGAGTCAACTCAGAGCGCATGACTCGGCTAGCCTCGGTAGGTTGTTGCTGCCTGCGGGTGGGGTCGTGGATTTTCCTGTTTCTGGAAGCTATGATCCGTTTCCTGTTGGGTAATTCTACGGGGGTAGAGTGATGCAGCCTAGATTGGAATTTTTTTTTAAAATTTAAATTGATATGTGTTATTTATATACAT